TATGTCTAGAATTGGGTACAAGTGGCCTAACAATGGTGATAATAAAATGATCAAGAAGCTATATGCATGGAGTAAATCAAAGCATTTCATAACCTTTGAAGATTACCAGCAAGGAGCAAAAGAAATTATAGAGAAGCCATATGAGCATGTCCAAATTCACCTTCAATCTAGAATGGGGCAATATGATAAAGAGTCATGCCACATGAACACAATAAAAAATTGTTGGCCCTTCTCTCTCCTAAATTCTGACTTATTCAATTGAAAGGGTCTCTTATTTTCTTTTCTTTCTTCAAATTGAATCTATAGTTATCAGGTTATCTTTAAGACTTGATCTCTCATTTCTTGATGAGGAAAGTCAATCTATCTTTTGGGAATACCTGGATGAAGAATCAAGAAAAATGGGTCTTCAGTCCTTAATGAGTGATTTTCAAGTATTCTACAGCTATCTCAGGAATGGCATTCCCTTTGATAGTTCTTTCAGATTATATGAGCTCCTGTCTAAATTCAGTTCCAAATTTGCAGCTGATCTTTCATTTGAGACAGGAGAAATTTTGGACAAGAAAATTAGAAAGTCTATAAAAGTTAAAACTTTAACTGATTCATCCAGGAATTCCTACTCTTACAATGAAGACAAAAAAGATACATCTGTTTGGAATGCATCATTATATTCAAATTACAGATTAGTCCTTAATCTTGTAGAAGAGTTCTATCAACACACAAGGGAAAGAGGATATGTCAAAAAGCTCTGTCCTCAAGAACGTGCTAGCACAGATCAAATTGAAAAGATTGGTAGGTCAAGTGAATTTGGCTCAAATACAATCAATTTTTTTTTTTGTAATCTAACCAATTCTTTTTGTGGCCATATTTTTGCATTCTCTTTATTGAACCAAGCATTTCTTATCTGTGATCACTGGTCACCAATTTATCAAATTGGTGAAGATGTTACAAATTACAATGTGATCATTGAGCTAGAAAAAAACAATTTCGCTTATTTGATTCAACAGGCCATGCAAGGAATCATGGGAAACGAACAAACTTCATGCTGGAATCTCAGACAAAATTTAATCAGAAAGGCATCTGAAAGCCAGGATTATGATAAAAGAGAATTTGAGGACCAATACCATGAGCTCAGAAATCTCATCTCAGAGATCAAATCTCAATCAGTATCAGGATCTCTGGATAAGATAAAAACCCACTATAGCAGAAAACTTATGGACAAAATCAGTGAATTTAAGATTATGACCATACATTCACCCATCAGAATTCTCCTCCAGAATCATTCAGAAAGTTGGACATATGTCAAACTCATAGCCTCTCAGGAATTCTCATCCATAAGTTCAACCAATGCAAATAAGTTGATTCTATTGCTAGAGCATGGTCACAGGCTCCGCAGGAATCTCCCCATCCTGCACCGTATTTGTGAGTCCAATTATCTTGATTCTATAGTTCTGGATCAGAGGCTGGCTGACTTATGCTTTTTCCTGAATGAAAAAAAAGACTATTGCATGACCAAGACAGAAGATGATGAGAAAGGCTTGATCATGGATCTTGTAGGACGCAGACTGAAATTGATTGAGAAAAAGATCAAGAAAGGAGAACTAAAAATCATGAGGGAAATATACGAGATCATTCAACAGAACTTGAGTCAAATTTGCTACAAAACTTGGACAAATAAGCTTCTAAAACCACTCTCGATATTGCCGCACTATTCAGCCAAACTGTTTGATGATTTGCTATTTGAATCTTCCAAACACACTATCCTCAGCAAGTTTTCCTCATATGAAAGGCTCTTCAATGCTTCTGTTTTCAATGGCCCAATCACAATTGATTTACTTACACCAGAAGCACACACAAAGTTGAATGAATTTTTCAATGATACATTGCTTGCATCCGTAGAAGAAGAGATTGAATTCATGGCATACATGTTGAAAAAAGGTAGTATTGATACGCATCTTGAGAAAGATGTTGGGTATGTTTTCAGGGATGCTATTATGCCCTCTTGAAAACAGATAAAAAAAAACATGGATTGGCTATCATTTCTAAATAGATAGGAATCGATTGAGAAACCCAAAAACTCATCCATCATCAAGAGAAATTAGTTTCTGTCTTCTGATCAATTACAAAATTTCGGGTTGATTCAAAAAAAATAAATTCATAGAGTTAGCATTTCCAATTGAACTATTGACTCAACACGTTAAAATGACTTTTTGAAGTTATAAAAATGATTTTATGACCCCTGTGATGCCCACCTAGCACCAGGAACAATCCAAGCTCACTAGATGTCAGGCCACATGATCTAACATTGATTGCTGCCCTTATATATAGCTCCAAGCTCTGTTGTGAGCCACCTAGTTCTACTACAATGGCCCCTTTGTGTGCTACAGATGGCTGAGGCAGAGTTGATGTGCAAATGTAATGGATGGTACCTGAAAACAACGGTGAAACAGAGACGAGACACATATTTGGTATCATCTGGTATTGTCTTTATTTTGAGCCTGATACTGGTATCATTAGTTCCTTTTTTGGTGAGAAAATTCACCATCTTGGATTTGGATTTACAAATGCAAAAAAAAATAAAATTTTGTTTTTTTCTTCTTCTTTTTTTCTTCAATAAGGCCAAATATCATGTGTATCAAAGATGTTTTTGGTGGGATCATCCCTCTGAGAGGATCCAGAATACTTGTCTCACTTTCCAAAAGACTTAATATGTGTGTATTGTGATCAGGACAGTGAGACCACACAAATACGGTATTTTTGGGTATTCAAATTCTGAGACAATACAAATAGGGGCTTGGTTAATCGACTCCCCAAAATTGGAGAGTCTACTCCCAAACCCCGAAACCCCTGAAATTAGGGAGTCGATTCCCCAAAACCGTTGACCGGTTTGGGAGTCGACTCCCTAAGAATTTAATAAAAAAAAATAAAAACACCCGGTTGGTTTGGGAGTCGATCCTCCCAAACCAACCAGGGTTTGGGGGTCGATAAACCAAATCAACCCCCACCCCACGGCAGCGGCCGGGAGGATTCCCCCCGGCCGCGAGACCACATTCTCGACGGCCAAGAGGGGAAACCCTCTCGGCCGTTGAGGGTATGTACACTCTCAACGCCGAGAGGGTTCTCCTCTCGGCCGTCGAGGT